TTTCAAATAATATTTAACACCTTAAATAATTTTAATTTTTACCACACAATTTTTTGAAATCTTTCAAATTAAAATACGTAAAATTTATTATTAATAATAAAAATTTGGTGATGTACTTTATTTTTTCATGTTCATCCAAAAAATTCAATTCCTGAATTTTGTGTGTGGATAAATTTATAAATAAAAAAGAAGAAGTTAAATGTTATTATCAAATGCTTTTGAATTTTGTAATTTTTTTGAAATATCACCATAAATGAAAATATTTAGCATTAATTATTAATTAATTTAATATCAATAAAATTGATAAAATTTATGTAGAATAAAAAGGTATGGCCATTATTGTACCAGGTGACACAACCAATGAATATTTTTCTTGAAGTTAGTGGGAATATGAGTGTGGCATATTGACAATGAGTCAATGATGAATCTACACCAAACCATTCCCACAAATAATTTGGAAAATTATGGTTAGTTTGAAAATTTTAGCAAAGTTGTGCTTATTTTTTATTTTTTTAATATAATCATGTAAGTAGCAAAAGCTCTCACTATCTGTTACCAAAAAAAAAATAAAAATGCTCTCACTATCATATTTTATTGTAATTGTTGTCAACCACTCAAATTTGAAATTACTAGTTAAGATGAAACAACTCATTTACAATTTAATTCATGTGCTGGGTTTATCCACTTGTTTGTCTTCTGTTTATGGATTTAATATTTCTTATATTTTGAGAAATAAATTTATCTTCTATATATATATAAAATTATATGTCGTTATGTGAGTGAATCTATGTGAGAATAAGAAAGAAACAAAAAATATGAATTTTATACACTTATTTATATATATATATATATATATATATATATATATATAGAAAATAAACAAATTTTAGGTACTACAGATATACCTATATCTTATCAAAAAAAGAAAAAGTAGACTTAAATAAAAATTCAAATTAAAAGCCGGATTCACCGAAGAAGTTTTAGTAGGAGATAATTTATGTCAAGAGAAAGTAAACCTTTGTTTATTTGACTTTTGTATTTTGGGAAAATATTATCTTATGTTGTAGGGGAGTATTTTTCTCTCCTACACATCCATCAAATTCCGTGTTTTTTTTTTTTTTTTTTTTAAGTGAATGGATCCCACTAACATAAAAGAGCTTCTCTTATGTGACAAGAGATTAATAAATTCCTTATTTTTTCCTACATTTACAAAGCATAGTGCTAGAGTCCCAGTTCAAACCACAAAGAGACTGAGGGAGAGCACAGAACTGGAAAGCAAGGAGCGTAGAACTCAGAAGTTGTTGGAGGAAACATATTTTCAGGTTTATACATTTTGTACTTACATGATATGATAATGCCTATTTGATTCTTGCACTTGTTAACACTGTTCATCACTAATTGTGTGCAAGCCACTGTTGTTGGAGCCTTTAGCCTTCACTGTAAAACTATGCTATGCACTTTTATCAGGAAAAATCTACTCTAGTTTCTATCCTCTTCCCCAATGTGTGTTCTGGATTTTCATTTTGGTTTAGCTTTTTTATTTTATTTTATTTCTTTGTGATGAAGGAGCCATGGTTAATTTGCAAGTGATTTTTTTCCCCCCATCTTCTTCTTGAGTTCTAGGCCTACTTCTGTTTGAGGTTGGTATTTAACAATTTAACTTTTCTTTGCAAAACAAAAACACCTTTAGCCAAAGCGGCAAAGGCATTTTGTGGGTGGTATCTGCACTTTATGTCTTTACATGAAGACGGTGGATCCTTTGTATATATCCGAGATTTAATATTGTAAAACACAAAAAAAAAATTAACCCCACTCTCTCTCATTGATTTTTAAGTCCTCTAACAATTATTTTATTTTGACAAAGCATATCATTATAGCTATCTTTTGAGGAGCGAAGTTACGGTGTTCCCGGATCAAAAAAAATTTAGCGAGTGAGGTGAGAGAAACAGAGAAAAAATTGAGGAGAGAGCAGATAAAAAAGAAAAAAGAAAAAATTTAATATAGGTATCAATTTTTGAATGGAAGGACCACAATTTCGCGTACCAAAGGTTATATTTATTACCTAATTTTTTTATTCTTTTGTTATCAAATTTTTACTGTTGATTTCTATCAATCTAATAATTATAATTTATTGAGTCATATTTATTAATTAATTATTAATTTTCAATAAATTATAATCGTTGGACTGACCGAAATCAATAGTTAAAATTTGATAATAAGAAATAGGGAAAAGTGTTTGTCATTTTAAATGACAGAAAGTTATTTCATTTTAAGAGAGATACAGACACAGAAAATTTGAATTTTAAATTAAAAAAAAACCATTCAACTTTCTCTCTCCCATGATTTCCGTTTTTCTGTGTCTATCTCTCTCCTAGAATGACATAACTTATGTTATTTAAAATGACAAACACCAAACCCTAAGAAATAACAAGAAAAAGAAATGTAAGTAATAACCTCTCTCATCTTTTTACTTCTATGGGGCGTTTGGTTCAGGAAATTTTTTTGGAATAGTAGGGAAATGTGATAGATAGAGAAATGATTGGAAAGATAGATAAAGTGAGATAGCTAGAAAAATGTAAAAAAAAGTTGTTTGGTGGGGAAAAACTTTAGTGGGAAAATTAGGTTACTTTATGAAATCAAGAGTGCATTAAAAGCCAGATAATCGGTTTTCCGAAAAATCCCACCTTCAAATCGAGTTTCTAAACAATGCGAATATCTATGTTTCTCATAAATCCAGACAAATTGGATAGATGGGTTTTTGGTGAAAAACGTTGAAACAAACATGGTGTTTGTAAAAGCCATACTTGAGAAAGATAGATATTCGCTGAAAAGCTCCCAACCAAACACCACCCTAGAGTAAAATACATTTTACCTACCAAAAAAAAAATACATTTTTGTTATACCTGCTACACGAAATTCTCTGACTTTGCAAGAGTAGGGATGAAGATCTGCCTTATCTTTTTTTTTTTTTTTTTGCAAAGATATTGTTTTGCAGACACGAACAGTGAGGTCACAAGAAGCAATCTTACCAGGTTCTAAAGGCTTGTTCTCGCTTTAATGTTAGTTACATGAATCTTAAAAATTTAGTTTTGTCTTTAAAAATGAGTTATTAGTGAGAAAGTTAGGTAATTTGTAGAAATTTTGAAGTTCATATCTCTGTATTTTAAGTGCACTAAAGAAATAAGTTTATTAGTTTTTAAAAGTTTGAAGAAAGAAAAAGTAAATTGTAGAAATAAAAGTATTCAAAGAACATGTTTTTTTTGCAAATGGTTTGTATGAATCACAAGTGTTTTCTTTATCTGATGGTTGATCTGTTTGCTCAACAGCTAGAGAAAATGGGGTCTGTTGATGAATATCATATCCAACAAATAATTAACATCCCAGAAAAGATTGAACCTGCCCTGTGGCATGATCAGTGTTGTGTCTACAATGTCCCTGCTAGTCTTTTTCAGGTGAAAAAAGAGGCCTATACTCCTCTATTGATCTCAATTGGCCCTATCCATCATAAAAACAAAAAACTAGAGGAAATGCAAGAGCAGAAACAAAGATATTTTCTTTTCTTTTGGGAAAGCCTAGTAAACAAACTTGCTTTAGTGAACTACAAAGCCTTCCTTGAACAAGAAGAGCAAAAAATACGCCATTGTTACCAAAAGAAATTCCCTAAAATCAGTAAGGAAGAATTTGTGGAAATGATACTGTTGGATGCTGTGTTCATCATGGAGCTGTTTTTGAGGGAAACAAAACGATGGGAATATAAAGATGATTATATAATAACTCAACCGTGTCTTAGCAAAAGTATCCAGTGTGACTTGTTGCTGCTTGAAAATCAGCTTCCAATGTTTGTGTTGGAAAAACTATATGAAATAGTTGTTCCAAGCAATGTCAAGAAGCATGCCAGATTCGTTAAGCTTGCCCATGACTACTTCCAATCTTGTTATCCTCATCAGGAATCTTCAGAGGGAAAATTTGAGCCAAAGAAGTGGGAGAAATCACTACATTTCACTGATCTTGTTAGACATTCCTATCTCCCTATTAAACTGAGCTATGGCAGTGATAGGGACACTTATTCTCAAAAAGATTGTTTTCTAAGAACTGCAACAAAGTTGAATGAAGCTGGAATAAGCTTTGAGAAGGTTGATAACAGATGCTTGCTTGACATAAAGTTTGAGAAGAAGCCATTCTTAAGCTGGTTTCTTTGCTTGGGATGCTTACCATACTCCAAGTGTTTCAAAGCTCGATTTCTATTCCCCAAGTTAAAAGTAGACCACAGAACAGAAAGTGTTCTTAGGAACCTAATAGCACTTGAGCAGTGTCACTATCCTGAGGAGCCTTACATTTGCAACTATGTTTCTCTAATTGATTCTCTTATTCATACCAAAGATGATGCAGAGTTGCTGGTTGAGAAAGAAGCTATTGTCCATGAACTGGGAAGTGATAAGGAATTGGCAAATCTGGTTAACAATCTTTGCAAACATGTGGTGACAAATTCAAACTGTTACCACCAAATTATGAAAGATATTGATGAACACTACAACAACAAATGGAAATGGGCAATGGGTACATTCAGGTGGGTGTACTTCCGTGACCCTTGGAGAAGCAGTTCTACTGTAGTGGGGATTGCTGTTCTAATATTCACCATCTTCAACTTTTGTCGTGTAATTCAGCTAATATTTTAGTTACTTTAGAATTATATATTGAATCACCTTCTCTATATTATATCATTATCTCTTGTAACACTGTAACTCTTCAATTTCTCATTTACTTGTACTAAAACTGACTTGCTTATAAAATGTTGCACGTGTGTGATGCTGCTAGTACATCCTGAATTCTTGGAAAGATGCTAAAATGATTGATGACTTTTCTAAATCAGGCTACTTCAATAGGGAATAAGATCCTCTAATTTTTGTTATAAACTGATATCCTCTAAGAATCTTTGAATAGATGTAGAAAGTTTCCCTTGCTTTTAAATGGATCCAATTTGGTCAAATTTCATTAAGTGAGCAAATTAAGATCAGAACAGAAAGGTAGACTGTTTCAGGGAGATACAGCCCCAGAATATCCCAAGCAGCATGATACTCTAACCATTTCACTTGAACCCAAGTAACTACATTAAAATCACTTAACCAAAATTGCAAAAAGTTAAAATCAAGATTCTAGACATCCAAAGTCAAGTAAACAGGGAACTTGGACTGAAGCTGAACCAGCAAGGTAAACAAGAAGTTCTTAAAAATGAAATCATGCCAAACACTGAAACTTTGGTCCTACTGATTAACAGAAAGCTGCCTCCGCTTATACCGGACCATAACTTTTCCTTTCACTCCCACAACCATGGCATTCCAATCAATCTCAGGGAAAGGTGACACCAACTCCAGTTCAAAATTCCTTAGCAAATGAGTCCATATGGCTTTTATCTGCAGATATGCAAAGGGCTCCCCAAGGCATCCATGCCTGCCCCCTCCAAATGAAATGTATGAGAATGCCCCAGACACCTTATCTTCTTCCCTCCCCACAGCAAATCGATCAGGGTCATACCTATCAGGGTCCTTGAAAATGTGAGCTAGCCGGTTCGCAAAAGCAGGTGATGTGGCTACTATATGACCCTTGGGAATGTCATATTCTTTCCCCTCTCTTGTTTTGACACTAAAATCACTGTGTGAGCTTCTCAGCAGCATAATCAGTGGAGGGTGGAGTCTCAAGGCTTCTTTAATGCACCTGTACAGCACATCCATTTCAGCCAAAACATCATGATCAACTCTTTCCCCATGCTTTTCCATCAATTTTCTCTGCTCCTCCAACACAGCAGAAAGGTACTGGTTGTGACTAAGGAGATATGCTCCAGTCCAAGTGGAGGTGATTGAACTAGTGTGTTGTCCCGCGAAAAGGGCAGCAATGAGAAGTCCAGTCACTTCAGCTTCTGTAGTTGCACGACCATCTTTGTATTTTGAGTCAATGAAGCACTGCAGCATGTCATCCTCTGAGTTGCTGGTGTTTTTGCGAGAAGATATGATGCTTGCAAAGATTTCAGCAAGCTTCTTGCGTGCTTTGTCTCGGCGACGGTGAGCTGGGATGGGGAGGTATGGAAAGAGAACACTGATTGGAAGCATCCCATTATCAAGGTCATGGAACAAAGCAGAGACATCATCAAAGAGCTTGTCGCGAACCTCACGCCCCAAGAGACATCTGCTAGCTGTTAAGATGATCAGATGCTCAAGCTCATACTTCAAATCAACCTCACCACTTGATCCCCACTTTGAGAAATAGTCCTGCAAATGGGGTTCATGTTGGGGGAAGAAATCAAAATAGTCTTCAATGCCAATTTAGTACACTACACAACTAGAGAAAATTAGAAGGGGGGGAATTTACTATTAACAACACAAAGAAACAATCAAGTGCCAGCTTAGATGCCATTTCACCATGAAATACATAACTAAAACATGTCAAAAGTCCAAATGGAGTTTAAAAGCTTCTCCAGCTTATGAAAATATGAGAATGAATCAAAGTTGCTGTATAAAATTTGGTTTTCAATTAGAGCCTAAGAAGTGCTTTGATCCATCTAGCTGACCCAATAAAGCTTAATTATTACTGTTGTTGTTGAATTAAAGTTGCAATAAGTTCACTGAACTCATAGAATGATGCAGTAAGCTGCAGTATACAAAGATCATCTCAGGTGTTGGCAGTGACCAAATTGAATTAAGTATTGAATGCACACCCATGTCATATATCAAGTAACCGCTAAACTGGTCAATTAAAGTATAAAAAGCAATCATGAAAAGAACGGATCTAAGCCTGTGAGTAACAAAATCCCCAAATCCATACTTACATGATATAAAAGAAAATAAAAACACAGAACAAACAAAATGAGAACCAACAAGAATAACAAAATTACTGATATATTGAATATATTCAATTGCACAAAGACAAACCCAAAATCCAATATAGAATATTGCTGATGTCACAAATCAACAACCCAGAAAAGAACAACAATTACCGACTACGTGAGACAATCCATTAGATCAATGAATTACCAAAAACAAACACAAACACTTACCTCAGCTTCTGTAACCATCTGATTAACATAACCCTTGAGTTTGTTGACCCTGAGGGACTCAGTGAAGAACCGAAACTGCTCTTGCCGCACAGAATAGTCAACATCAAAGACCACCCCAGGTCCAAAAGTTGGCACATTGAACTGATACACCTCTTGTTGACTAAGATCAGATTCTGGGGCCTTGAAAAAATGTGCAGATACCTCGGGACCAATCAAGAAAGTGATGTTCTTATGGAAAAGTTTCAAGGTGAAGACACTGCCAAGTTTAGGGTACTCCTCACGAAGCATCAAGATTGGACCTTTAAGGAAACGGTGAAGCCCTCCAATGAAGGGTAAACCCTTCATGATTGGAGGGAGACGTTTTCTTGATTTGGGAACTATGAAGGCTGAGATGAGTTTTGCAACAACTATGGTGGACACAAGGAGGAGAACAGTGTTGAGAAACTTGCCATCAAAATCCATGGATGTGTTGTGTGTTGTGTGATTTGTGATGATGATGTTTTCGACAATTCCTATGAATCGGTCACAAGTAGTAGTGGAAAGGAAACCACAGATCTATTGTTTCATAGATCTATATGTTCATATTAAAGCTTGTAATTGTTTGTGGCCACGAAGGAGTGTGTGAGTGTGAGTGGGAGTGTGTGTGCATATATATACATATATTATATTATTAGGGAAAATTTGGAAATTTAAAAGGTCGATTTAGCTTAGCTGGGCTCATCGGATAAGGGTTTCACAAATAAAACTGTGGGTTATGCTTCCAAACAGGTTGTCTCGAATATCTATTCTCATCACGGACGGCACATTCAATTTTATTGTTTAAGTATTCAAATTTTTTTTTTTGTAGCTTATTCAAATTTAAGAAATTATTGTTTTTTTATGTTCTAGGAGATAATTTTATTTCTTATACACACATAAAAAATAAGATAAAAAGAAAATATGAATCTCACACACTCTTATGTGTAGGTAAGAAATAAATTTATGTTATATGATATGAGAAACACTATTCTTCAAATTTAATTATATATATGTTCACGTCAATTTGATTCACTCTATTACGAAGCATAAGATCAATTGATATGAGATTATTATGAATTAATCAATTGTTTGAATTCGAGTTTTAAATTTGTAATTGGATTAAATTTTAATAGAGAGAATTTTATCACTTAATATACTTATACGTTTTTTATATATTTTATTTCTTTATTTATTGTGTAACTTCATAATTGAAAAACACATATTTTTCTCTTGTTTATTTATTCCTTGCCAATTAAGAATGACATATAGATAAATATTACGAAGACAAATAATTGTTTATAACTTTAAAAAATTTGAAATTAATGGTAATATATGTTGGGTCAAGTCGGATCTTCAAGTCAATCCTTCAATGTAAAGAAGTAAAAATCCTTCAATGTAATATAGTGTCCAGAATCAAACTTCCACTATAAGCATAATGTATTACAACTGTCAAGCTTCCTTAGTCTTTCACTAGAGGTACAGTCAAGCTTCAGCAAGTATGGTAGTATTCAAGGCTCTAATACCACTTGGTGGGTGGTGCACGGGGAGCTCATGGCGGGGAGAGACCGACAACCATGGGTCAAGTGAGCAGTAACATTAAGTGGGCTCGGAACACCACAATCAAACCCAAAACTTTAAGCCATTAGGTGCATGGGTCTTTCCACTTATATGGTGCTCACTTAGTCAATTCTTAACCAATGTGGGACTTTTTCACTCGATCATTCACACTTGGATTTCTCAACATCTCCCCCTCAAGTGTGAGTCCAAGGCCCACATTCTTTCCCCCTCAAGGAGAAGCTTCTTCGAGTATTCATGGGGTTCATCAATGCTTGACTTCTCTTTAAACATTGGCTCTTTCATCAAGGCTTGCATGGCTGCATTCATCAAGACCTTGACTTCCCACATCAAGACATACTCGGATCACCACATCAATTGCGGAAGCGAATAGTAAAATGCAAGAGGAAAGAGATGAAGAAGAACACAGACAATTTGTTTAACGTGGAAAAACCTTCTCCAGTGTGAAGAAATAAAAACTCACGAGACATTAGTCCAGAATCAAACTTCCACTATAAGAATAATGGGTTACAATAGTCAAACTTCCCTAGTGTTTCACTAAAAGTACAATCAAACTTCACCAAGTATGGTGGTATTCAAACTTCCCTAGAGAGATTTCACTCAAACATTTCTGTAGAGGTATTCAGTCAAGTTTTTTTCTCTCATGGAGGATTTCTTCACCTCACTTTGTTGATCTCATCTCTTTCTCTATTTATAGATGACTAGGAGTGATATATTTAATGCTCTAGATTCTTCTCCATTTAATGAGGAGGATTTCAATACAACTCTTCGTTCTCCCATGAAGTCCTTTCATTTTCCCTTGAAGCCTTGTCATTCTTCTATGCATTGGAACTTGTATCTAATTAAGGAGAAATAATCCAACAATAAATTATTTGGGAGTGGATCCTCTCATGTGGAAAAGTGATCACGTGGTCATGTTATTTGATCACAACCACTCATTAGTGATGAGATAAGAAAGAGAAAAATGTATAATTTTTGAATGAGTGGTTGTGATCAAATAACATGATCACATGACCACTTTTTCACATGAGAGGATCTATTCCCAAATTATTTAGAGGTTTATCGTTTTTCATCAACTTGAGATGAAATTATCTCTATTAATTTCAAAACTATATTTTAGGAAATTTATTGATTTTTTGTTATATGAATTTTATTAAAACATTCTTCATTATTTCTCTCAACCTTTAAAATAACGTAGTTTTGGATTTGACATGGTAAACTCAATATTTAATATAATAAAAGTTGCAAGAATAAAGAAAGACAAAATAACGAATTCTTTGCAAGTGAGTTTAAAAAGATTAAAATAAATACTAATAGTGGTGTAGAAGAAACATAATTTAAACGGAGCAAAAATGAAAATATTTTATTTTTTCGAAATAAAATTGAGGAAACTTCTAAATTTGAAAATACACACACATATAGATTATTAAAAATTTAGAAAAATAATTAAATTTTAAAATTTAAATTTATGACTAATTACATTCAAATATATATTTTTTCCTAATTTATATTAAAATCTTATTCGATCATAATAAAATTATAACTATTAAATCATATTTATATTCCATAATACACATCCCATGTTTGAAAACAAAAGAAATATTTCTTAGGGGAAGGATATACTTACTACCAAAAAAGTTTACAACCTTTACAACTAACTTAATCACCATTGATTTCCGTCAATCTAACGGTTATAATTTATTGAAAATTATTGGGTTGCATTTATTAATGAATTATTATTCCCAATAAATTGTAACCGATAGATTGACAGAAATCAACGATGATTAGGTTGGTTGTAAAGGTGGTAGACTTTTTTGGTGGTAAGTATATCATGTCCCTTTAAAATTTGCAAAAATTATGTGTTAAAATATTTGATTTTTCATTGTATTTAAAACTTTTTTATTTTGAATGCAAAATTTATTTTCATTGTATTTCACAGTCTAACACTGCAAACTTCTTTTTGGGGGTAATTAAAGACACTACCTATTAACTTTATATAAAATGTGATTGTTACCCATAAAACGATTAAATTATAACTGTTTACTACTTTAGTTATTCGTGTCAAATTTTTTAAAATTTTAATAATAATAAGAATAAGAATATAATTATTTTTTGTAAAGTATTGAATATTCCCGGGACATTAGTCAACGACATTGCTTGAAATAACGAGTACGAGCGTCGAGATGGGAGTGAGCTCAAGTGGCCGAAAAACAAAGGAGGAGAATGACTTAAAAATTAAGATGCGTTATAATAACTACCAAAAAAATATAAGAGGCATTATAATTGTTTATAGTTTTCATTTTATAAGACAGCATTCGCAGACATTTTATGCATCATAATATGAAAAGAGGTAAACTAATAACTAAAGTTATATTCCATACAAAGAATCCTATAATAAAACTTGTTACAATAAGGTCCAATTAACTTTGATATATATAATGTATAAACAAAATTGAAAACACATAATTGAAATTAATCAGTGTGCAAAAAATATGAAAATGAATTGTTTTGGGAGTTTAGTAGACTTAGTTGACGTGGCTTCCGTTAGTAATTTAACTTGTTATCTAAAACCCTATGCTCAAAAGAGCTGCTGCTTTTTTTTTTTTTGTTGGTAATAAGAGCTGCTGTTTTTTAATGAGACATATGTAATTCCCCCTTATTAATTTTATGAAGTTTACTACGAGACTTGAAGTTTTACATTGCATATAAATTTCCATAAGCAAATACATTTAAACGAAGATAGAGGACAATCATAGCTGCATTAATGTACGCACAATCAATAATATATATATAGCTTTAAAATCAGGTAAATAAAGAGTTTAAAATAGAACTGCAGAAGAGATATGCTTCCATGCCCAAAAACCACGTGTTCATTCTGTTGGAGGGGTATCTGAGAAATCGGAGTCAGGTAGTGGGTGCAGATTTAGTCGGGTCAGTTACTAGTTTTGTTGAATGTGGGTTGGGTTTCCCTATTAAATCTGAGTTGAATAGGTCAAGTGTTATGGACTGCATAATACTTACACAGAGATGGTTTTCGTGGAAGCGTATCAAACTCGGTACACTCATTTATTAAAATAGATAAATTTACACTCATTTATTAAAATAGATAATTTTTTTTCACTTTAATCATTATTTTTTGGGCTTTACTTCTCTCATGCTATAGAAGAGAAGTTATCTTATGTTGTGAGATAAATTAAATGAGGCTAACCAATTTTTTTTTTTTAAAAAAAAGAAAAAACATCTTTTTATGTGAATGTAACATGAGAGATGAATCTTATGTAACATAAGTCTATAATTTTCCTTATTTTTTATAATATATATTTTTTAAACAGATATACCAAATTCGATATACATTTTAAACAGATATACCAAATTCGATATACCCATAGCATTAAAAATATTTCCGATTTGGTGGGCTCCTGGTTAATCCATATTCTCTCGTTATAAAGCTTCACAAATTTTAATTAAGGGCTTGATGAGCCTCTGCAATAGGTGTAGACCATCAAAGTATACCAAAAGATAAAAAAAAGCACAGAAGCACGAGTTTTGATATGTGTACGGAAATTTATTTAATTTTTTGTCTTGCGGCATGATACTTATATTATCCTTTAATTAAATTCTAATTCGTTAATAGATTTCATTTTGGGAAAAAAAGTTGTTATATTAAAAGATACAATTTTTTGATTTTAAATGAAACAGCTGTGTTTTTGTATATATTTTTTGAACTTTTACATTTTCTTTTTTACATAAAATTAGGAGAAGAGAGAAAAATGTAAAAAATCAATAAATATTCATTAAAACACAATTGTTTCACTTATGATACAAAATTATATCTTTTAAAATAATAAATATATTTTTTTTTAATTTTTTTATTGCATATGAGAGATAATTTTATCACTTAGGAATATATATAAGAGATCATTTCATCATCTACAAATATAAAGAAAAGAGTGAAATTCACTTTTTCTCTTTTTATTTCTTCTCTCACCAGGCCCACTCACTTCCATCTATGTCCATAGATAAATTTTAATTTTTAAAAATTTCTTGATCAGCAAGAAAGTATCGTCGTTGCAATCTTTCATCGCTAAATTATGACAATGTTTCAAATATAGTTTGTGCAATAAAAAATATTTATTATTATGATAATGTCCCTTCATATTTCCCTATTAATATAATTATTAAGGCACTTGTCTAAAATCGATGGACCTAATTCAAATGAATTATGCAATAATCTCTCTACCACTTGTGCAAAATTCGAAGCCAATATTGCCTAATACTTGAGCAACAAGGGATCTAACTGTTTTTGTTTTTTGTTTTTTTTTATTCATTTTTTTGAAATGCAACGTGGGCATGTTAGTGGGAAAGAGGCAATAACTGCTATAACCGCAAAAGCCTAGATAACATAAACATAGTATAGTGTCTGAGAAGCAGTAGTTTTAAGAAGAAAAAAAGGTGAAGCATTTGAAGGTAGAAAATCAGAGATTAGATTGTGTCTTTTTTGTTGTTGTTGTTGTTGTTGTTGTTTGCGGTATGAGTGGAAAATGCATGGAAAAAAAGACCAAGAGCATATAAGAAAAGGGCCATGGAAAGCAGAGGAAGATGAGGTGCTACTGAACCATGTGAAGAAGTATGGTCCTAGAGATTGGAGCTCCATTCGATCCAAAGGCCTTCTACAAAGGACTGGCAAATCATGTCGTCTTCGTTGGGTCAATAAGCTCCGACCAAACCTCAAGAAGTAAGTCAAATGTTTCTATGTCCTGATATTGTGTATCCATGTGTAGTTATTACTTGTAGTGGTGTGTGTTTGATGAAGTTACAATGATGGGGTTGCTTTATATTGTTCCTAGTCTTTGATTTTTTGTGATTTTAAGCTTAAAGTTGAAATTTTTTTGATGGGTTGTCTCTTATTTTCCGGATAAATATGTATCCAATTATCCATACATGGTTAATGGTTGTTACTTGAATTGGTGTTTGATGATGCTACAATGATGGGTTGCTTTTTTTATTGTTCCGAGTTTTCGGATTGTTTGTGTTTTACAAGCTTACGGATGAAATTATTTGATGGGTTTTATCTGATTTTTGTCATTGGGTGTCTCTCAAAGTGGGTGCAAGTTTTCACTAGAGGAAGAGAGGGTTGTCATAGAGTTGCAAGCACAATTTGGTAACAAATGGGCCAAAATTGCATCTTATTTGCCTGGTAGAACAGACAATGATGTGAAAAATTTCTGGAGCAGTAGGCAAAAGAGGTTGGCTAGGATTCTGCAGACATCAGCAACAACCTCCAAATCACAGAAAAACAAAACTAAAGTTCCTACCGTTCTTGATGTTCCAACTTCGGAGGTAAATTGAAAAGGTTCCTCTTTTTCCGGTAATTTTAGTTATATTCCATTCTGTTTTGTCTTCAGAATTCAGTATTCAATTGAAAAAACAAACTTAACAAACATAGCTGAAAATTTGAGACACTGTTTGCAGAATATGGGAAGATGCTATTTAACAATTCAAACACTGGAAAAACAAATTTCATTAACAAAACATAACTGAAAGTTTGATATACTAAATGCAGTTTCAAGAACTAATTTGTTTTGTTGAAAACAGTTAGTAGCAATTTATTATTGTTATTCTACGCACACTCCTCTACTTGTATTTCTACCATTGCAATAACTACAAATTTCTTGGAAAATGATTAAAATGTTCTCTGTGTCAGTGTTCTTTTCACTGCAAATTTGAACATAAGCATAACATTAATTTATTGACTTTATAGGCTCCTAAGTTCAGTTCCTCATCAGAGGGAGAACCTTCATCAAAGCCTCAGTCATGTTCATTATCCTGCATTGAGAATTCCGATGTTATCAAAATGGTGCCATTACCAGATCTTATAAAGTTCGAGATGCATAGTTCTGACACAAACCATGTTGAACAAGAGTTCACCCCTTTTGATAGCTATAATAAAAGCACTGAACAGATTACCTTCCCACAGATTTCAGAACTCAACACTGATGTTACATTCTCAATGGGAAACCAAGACCTCTTGGCAAGAATTGATGAGCCAAATTTTATTGATGTCTTTGATCCTCTTGTTGCATCTGAATTTGGAATAGGTCCACAACATTCCATTGGGTTCCCTTTCTTTGAGCCATCAGGAAGTTGCAGAATTGGGACAAGGGATACAATTGATAACTCCAAAAATAGTCACAGTTTCTTTGATGATTTCCCAGTGGACATATTTGATGATCCCATGGAGCCACCTGCAAGCCCATCCAATGTGTAACTTTTGTGGTCATTGTCATTTATTCTATGTGTAGCTGAAAATTATATGTAATAGTTAAAATTTGGTTAGTCATTGTAATTTGAAATTATGGACACTGATATCATTTGTAGGACACCCAAAAACTGACATAGCAATTGTCCACATTGATGGTTTTATTGATGGCCAATTGTTGAAGTGTGGGGCTTTTGAGTTGTTTTTACACTTAGCAGTTGTCTTCTAGTTTTATGATCATGGTAAAATAATATATTGCACCGACAATATTTGATTTATATATGTTAATTAATTATTAGTTATTAACTGCAATGATATCCACATACTCTTTGAACGAGATTTCATATAATAAAAGTATGTGGAAATTTAGAAGTGAATTAAACTTCTAAAAGTTCCATGTAGCATTTATTCTTTCCTAAAACAATTTTGAACGAAACAATTTACTAGGCCTAGGACAACAGTAAACGATTTCCTTTTTCTTTTTATATCGAAAAAACACAAAATTTATACAAAAAAAATAAGACACAAAATTTGAACCTATAATATATATCGATGAATATAGTCATATCAGATGCTCACAATTTAAATCTGATTATGTTTCAAATTCTTGACGTCGTTTTTATAATGAAAGATTTATGACAAATATTTTCGGCCCAAATAACATTACTAATGTGGTTCATAGCCACATTTAAATTTTTTGCAAATTACACCGGAAGTACATAATATAGTTTATAAGATTTGTAAATTTTTTTTTTTCTCTCTTATAATATAAATGAAAGTCACGTCTAAGTTTACGGTGACCTGAACTGATTTTTCCCACTCCTAAAACCAGTTGGGTTCAAAAAACTAAACGGTTTTATTTGATCTGAACCAGTTTTATTTTTTCCCAATTAGTTTGAAATCAGGTTGAAACAGTTCAGAATCAATTCATGTTTCAAAACCAGTTTAGGTATGCAAACTAGTTCGGATATGCAAATTGGTTTCGAACTGATTTTGAACGGGTTTTCAAAACCAGTTGTTTTGATTCAGTTTAGTTTTTGGAATTGGTTTAGAAAACTAGTTCAATTCTTAAAACTGATTTAGAAATATACAATTCGATTTGATTTGGTTACTTTGCACTACTCGAGAGTTAAGGAACATAAATCTTGTTTAGGCAAAATAAAATTTATTATTTATTTACTTTTTGCATTTTAACTACAATATATTTATTCCAAGCATAAACAATTCCCATGAGACTATTCATTTAAAACCCTAACCAGTTCAATTTAGAAAAACTTCAGTGATTAAAATCATAAGAAAGTAAAAGAATAAACCGCCTGAACACTGGTTTGCTTTCATTAGATGATTGTGCAGTTTTCAGGAAACTAATTCTTTCCAAACAAATAATTGAAATTGTTTGCAATTATAAGACGGGATCGTGTTGCAAGAGAGTTGAAATAGGGACAAGAAACATTTAAGGGCTATTCCTTTAAAAAATACACAAAAAAGTAACATCATTACAACCATTTTCTTCCTTCCTTTCCAACAGACAAGTTTTATATTCACAACACAGCAATAAACAAACTCTATGATTAACTTCAACTGAATACAACAATAATGACAAACCAAGTCCTTTCCCACTAAGTAGAATTGCCTACATAGATCATTCAAGCCCGTTGAGTGTTGAATAAAATGGAAGAATAAAGTCCTCCCTATTTTTATTTCTTTTCACCAATGTTTACTATTCAATCAAGGAAAATATCATTAGTGAAGTAGAATGCTGTTTAAATTTCCTATTCAATCAAACATTCACAACAGAAAAGTAGTTTGGACTGTGGAGGACTCGAATATAAAATGGCCAGAGAGAAATAACTGAGAATCCAGCATAAAGATGGTCATTATGAAGTTTAACTGGTGTCATTGCTCAAAGAATTTGGGATGAAATAGCTTACACCAGTTTGACCAGTATGAGTAAGTGCTTCAAATTCTCCTGCAGTAAATGACTGATCTTTCTTGAAAATTGGGCGTTTAAGCTCCACGTATCCACAGTAATCAACTTCATATACTGTAGCACCCTTTTTAAATGAAGAAAGAGCCACCCCAACTCCTTCCCCTGCAAAAGGTGCGATATAATTAGAATTCAAGTTGCCAAAATCTCTTGCTAATAAAAAAAAAAAGAGGCACCTTCTTCATGCATTGACCAACAGGTTCGAACTCTTTCTTGCTTTGTACTAAATTTTATTCTCGCTTATTATTCATGTAACCAAGGGCAGAGGCAAGAAAAAGATTGCATTCACAAATAAAAGGTGCCTTTCCATATAGAATGATCTCTCTTACAGTTATAAAGGGCAAAGGGCAAACCCCGATGTACAAGGGTTGATTGTACACAGCTTTACCATTACATTTTTGCAAAGAGACTATTTCCCAGATTCGAACCCATGGCCATAACCTTTCGATCACAAGGAACAACCTTACCAGCTAACGCTGTTCCAAGACTCATTCTCATCTCTTTTACAGTTATAAAAAAAAAAAAAACCACTCTTCATTAAACCCTACTAGCGAGTGTGGGGTGGAGGCATTGTTGTCAAAAACTAGTGTAAAAACGGTCCTTGATAAAAACTGGAAAAAACTTACGTTTTTATCGTTTTTACTTAAAACGAAAAATATTTCAAAAAAAATATTTAAAAAAAAACCCAATTTTCGTTTTCCCCAAATCATACGCACAGTATCTTGATATCTTTTTGTTTCGATATATGTCTTTTATAATTATGTCTTATAAAGCTGCAATTCTATTATAAGTTATGCTATGAGAATCGTTTTGTGTTTTTGGATCATTGTGTGCAGTGAAAGAAGTGGAATTATATACTGATGAGCGATGATCCAAAATCTGCAGAGTGTATGAAGCAGTTAGAGCAGATTGGTTATCCATTACTTGTTAGTTATCACTGTTTATAGTATTGATACTTGGTTATCAAAAATAATTTTCCTCTGTAGATAGATAAGTAGCTCAACACACATGTTCATTATGTGATATTTTTTTAACATGCATATATATAATTTTGTATCCTACCTTAAGTAGTAGAAAGTAGAAACTTTACGTTTCGTGTCGTTTCTACATTTTACATTTCTACCACCCCTTTCCGTTTCTACGTAGAAACTCGAGTTTGACAACATTGGGTGGAGATAATCCTTGTACGCAACCTTACCCTTGCATAATTGCAAAGAGGCTGTTTCCTGGATTTGAACCCATGACCTTTCAGTCATAAAAAAACAACTTTACCACTGCTCCGGTTCGCCTCCTTTTACAATTATATGGACAGGAAATTAAATATTATACCATGTGTGACAAGGAGCAAGTTCTCAGTAGGATGTTTATCTGCAAGGTCTTTAACTATTTGCTCATATCTAGCTTTTGTGCTCAAAACTGGTTCTTCCCACTGTGGCAACTGAAGTTCCTCAAGCAAAAAAGTTTTCATTAGCCTTAATATATATATATATATATATATATATATATATATATATAATTGCCATGTGCAAAAGAATTTGAAACTGAAAATGAAGACGAAGTCCTCTATACCTCTTTATAGACCCTTTCTACATTATAATCCACTGTCCCTGCTGGAAGCATGGCTTCACGCTCTGATATATCAAAACCCCAATTTCCATCTTTAGGAGCCACGTCGAGCCTGATTGCTTCCCTGCTCATCATTTCACATAACCCATATTCAACAGAAACCTGCAGTTTATGAAAGTGAGGGACGTAATTTTAGTCACTTAATGGTTGATATATCTACATACAATGTTAGAAAATAATATTAAACCATTAAAAAAGCCTTCACCCAACAGCTTAACTTTTTAGGTTGAATTGATTCTTTACATGGTATCAGAGCGTTAGTGACCATGAGATCACGAGTTCGATCCTCACCGGCGCTCACTTTCTAGTGGAATCAAGTAAAGCACAAGGTAAACAAAAAAAATTGGGCCTGTGCAATATCTACGCTTCAAGCCCAAAGGGCTTTTGCGTGAAGGGGTGTGTTAGAAAATAATATAAATCATTAAAAAGGCTCTCATCCAATAGCTTAAACTTTTGGATTGAATTGGTTCTTTACATACAAGTACAAGTGTAGAGGATTTGTAAGTCATTTTTGTGCATGGTGACTCGAACTGGTTTTTTTCCCTGAATCAAACTGAACCGGTTTAATTTAACCGAACCGGTTCGAAAACAGTTCAGAATTGGTTCATGTTTCAAAATCAGTTCTTGATTTATGACCTGTTCCTTTGCAAATCAGTTCAGAATGGGTTTTGAATCGGTTCTGAACTGGTTTCAAACCAGTTTTGAATCGGTTTCAAACATGTTTTTGAAACCGATTCTTTTGTTGGGTTTAATTTTTTGAGCTGATTTATAAAACTGGTTCAGTTCTCAGAACTGATTCCGAAAAATACTGTTCAGTTCGGTTCAATTATGTAGAGTAGCTTTCTCTCATAAAACTCTACAATTCTGCTTACACAGATCAAACTGAATGAATCTCCAACGTTACAATGTGCAAATACATGCAATTTTCACCATTAGGCCAAGGTTTAAATGTTGTCATGTTTCATTTAAACAACCACAAATCAAACATTATCATAGTGTAGAGCAGCAATACTGGAAAATTTGTTTTAAATTCTTTTTAGAAACTCAAATTTCTACATATATATAGCTAATAAACTATAGGCTGGGCTCAGATCCAATTTAAGTTTATAGTAGATGCAGAATTACAGATAAAATAAAACTGTTTCACTGCTTTTCTTATTTTATTTTATTTATTTATATTATTTGAACGAACATTGTTGATTTCTTGTGTGTATAAGACATGGATAATTGTGACGTTGGTTGACATTAAAAATTAGAATTAATTTGTATTTCCCTACATAAATAAAACAAAAATAACTATAAAAACGAAAGAAGTAACTTTGATCACATCAAGTTATCAATAACATATAATTTTCTCAACTAAAGAGTTAAAAAGTGAGAACCGTTTTATAAATAAAATAAATATTTGCATCAAAATTTACCAAAAAAAAAATTACAGCAAAGAGAATTGTTTTAATAAGCATGCTATTCAACCAAAAAATTTTAAAAAAGAAAGAAAACAATTTCTGACCTTGAGTTTTGAAGGATCGATGGAAACGGCGTCGCCGGCAAGGGCGTTTGGGTCGTCGTCGACGGCGGAGAGGGCGGTGACAACTTCGGCGGCGGTTTGGACGCAGCGGAGGAAGGGTGAGACGAAGACCCGGTGGAGCGGGAAACCGAGATTGTCGCGGAACTTGCGACCCGTAGAGAAAGCCCGAACCCGACCCTGTTGAACAAGGGGCGGGTCCCAGGGTTGGGTCGCGGTGGATACCCATAACGGCTCGAAGTTGTCGATGCGATCGCCGTGCCTCATAACGACGACGTTTTGGTAGAATTCTGGTGTTTGATCGTGTGTGGAATCCATAATCACAGAGAGATAGAAATTGCGGTTTTCTAAGTCAGAAAATGAAACACAGGTTTGTGGAAAATGTATGTTATGCGTATGTGTGTATGTGTGTGTGTGTTTTTTTTTTTAATTTAATTTAATTTTTTAAATGAGATTTGAGTCATTTGACATTATTGTATTTGCTTGTACGCAGTTTTCTGTTTCTAAGTTTGCGAATATTCTTTTCTTTCTTTCTTTTTTTTATACAAGAAAAGAAGAAGGTTGCGAATATTCTGTTCTGCCATAATAATAACAATTTGTTTTAAATTAATGAATAAATTTTTTTTTCTTACAAACGATTCATATAATTTGTAATAATCCAATTAAAAAAAATACTATAGCAATTTAAAAAAATGAAGATAACGCATCAAATATAAAGTTGTTCTTACTTAATAAAATGATCTCACCAAATACAGTATGGACTGGTCTATATGTATTGAGTCCAATCACACACAGTTGAATCACCTCACGTCGTTGTTGGCCTGGGCCTAGTATTGCTGTTGGAATGATCTTGAGCTTTGTCCTTCACGTTGGCACGTTGCACCAAATGGGGGTACCTGCGAAGACACTTTGATGCTTAAGTTAGTATCAGAGGCAGGTGTGTTATATTGTTAAAGAAAAGGATGATCGTACCTTGGTGGTATATCGTGTGTTTATATAGTAACTGGGATGCCGCCTTAGTTAAGGCGGCTTGGCTTCTGAGTGGCCAGCCTTGGGCTGCAGGTTATTTAGGGGACGTGTGTAGCCTTATCTTCCAGAGGGTCTAGTAGTAGATTTGAGGCAAACTGGAGCTGTTCGTTGTTTACTGGAGGTAAGGCGCGGTGTAGTTACCTTGAGCCTTAAGTTTACTTCTCTTTAGAAGGTTTCATATGCGATATGAGAATCGAGTCTTGTGTGCCGCGATGAGACCATCGCGTCCTGTATGTCGCGATGGGAATATCGCGTCTGGAACGCCGCGATGTGGGCATCGCGTCAATGCTTGTTCCTTGTGCTTCGGAAGGGCTTGGGCTTTCCTTATGGGGTTTTGATTGGGCCTATATTTTATCCAGATCAGTTGCCCCTAAGCTTGCGGTGTTGTCATTTGGCAAGGTCGTGAGCTATATGTTTTTGCTCGAGACGCGATAGCATACCATTCATACGTCCCTTTTCTGTGTGCCGCGGTAATTGTGCCTGATAGTGTCATCATGACCTTCTACCGCTTAAAAAATGGTGGATTAAACGTCTAATCAATCAAGAGCATTAAATGCTGTTGTGATTACGTGGGAGTTTAAGTACAGGCGTGGGTGGTTTTTGTAAGTAAAATGCTTCCCCTACCTGCCACGTGTCCCTTGGAACCCGTTTTGTTTAACACGTCTTGTGGCTTTCGGTCTATCCGTTGGTGAGAAACCTTTCATATTTGTGCTGAGTCTTGGAGGGAAAAATCATTTCGGTGATTTTGTGAAAAATCTCTTATCTCTCAGTGCTTTCTTCTGCATTTCCGGTGGTGACACGTCCCGTTTGTAGTGTGAAGTTCCGAAGTATAAAGCTCAGGTATGTTGTTCCTCCTTCCATCTGATCTTTTCTGTGTTTCTTTCATCTGGTTCAGTATTTTTCCTTCTTTCTATGTGAAGCATGTATGATAATCGTAAATGTGCGGATTTTATCAGACTTTGTGAACGGTCTAGCTCGTCCAGTCCTCCTTCAGGATTGTTACCAAGATCAAGGTCTTTGGGAACCAGTGACAAGAGGCATACTGTAGGAATTTTAGCCCCCTGCTCCAAGGCTTATGTTAGGCATGTCCCCTCAATTCGTACGTTTGAGTTAGGGTCATCTTTGCGACATCCTAATCGCGTAAAGACATTGTCAGAACATAGCTCGTCTGTGTTTCCCTAAGTTTCTATGAACATGTCAAAGCCCATTATGCTATCGAGTGATTCTTCTTCGAGCACTGCAAGTAGCTATAAATCAGTTGAGTCAAAGAGCCCTAAATCGTCCTCTTCAAGCTCGTCGCACGATTCTCCTTGTTCTATCGTGCATGAATCTTTAGGTCAAAAGAGCCCTAGTCCTTTACCGTTAAATGTTGTTTATCCAACCGGGTATCCTTTTAAGAAAAGGAGTTTTGATATTATACGCCTATTTCTTCTGACTTGTCTTCTTCCACTGATTCTTCTTCCTCTTTTGAATCAGATTTTGTGTCCCCTCAGATCAGAAAGATAATGGCAAGACGCGGTGCTCATGAGAAGAAAAAACAAAAATTGCAATCTAACACGAAGAAGAAAATCCTACGCCTTGAGCCTGATGGTGAGTCCCCAGTTAATCAAAATCTACGGGACGAAGACACCCGTAGTTGGGTGGCTGACACAGTTTTGGATACTGAGTCTGTGTTTTGCTCCCCAGGAGAGTTGGCTGAAGTAACATCAGCTCTCCACCTGACCCCCAACAAAGCTTTTGATGACCAATGTGAAGTTGGTGTTGTCCCGAAGAATGAGCGCGTTTGTTCATCGCGGGCTGAATGATCAACCAGGCATTACATTATGATGTACTCATTCTTTTTTCTGTCCATAGGTGTTCGGTTGCCCTTTTCACCTTTTGTTTGTAAACTTTTGGCGCACTTGAATGTGGCGCCTTCACAGCTGACCCCCAACGCTTGGGGTTTTATCAGAGTGTACGAGATGGTTTGCAATGCCTACGGCTTGTTCAAATCTGTGCAATCATTCTTGTACATATTTAGTGTAATGGGACCTCGCAATAGCTGGATATCATTTAGGAGCAAAGTGAAATTCTGCGAGTCATATTCACGAAAGATTAACATGTGGAGCGCAGAATACTTCAAGATTTACCTTGCCGAAGGTACCAAACCCTTTTTCATAGGCGATGATGGGACTCCTAGCTTTCCGTTATATTGGTCAGAATATTCAACTGAAAGCGCTGTCCTGGGCTATAATTTTACTGATTTGAGTGATGTAGAACAAAAGACAGTGACCACTTTAGGTAACATTTCTTGGGAAGCTTCTGATACGGGCTCGCTGAGCACGTACACGATTTTGAATGAGTATTCCGATGATGATATTCGAGCTTATCTGGGTAACTTAGACCCTTACTCACTTTGTAAATGTTTTAATCAAAGTATCTGAGTATACCGCGATGTGTAGGTATGTTGGAAATATCTTTAATCATGAATTTCTTTGTTCTGGTTTGCAGATAGCTCAATGACGGCATCGTTAAATAAAATGGAAAGGATTGCTGCCAATCATGCTGCAGCTATTGCAGGTGCTTCAAGATCTCCCCAACCGTCTATGTCTGCGGTTGCTGTTGTTGCAGAAACAAGCGAGCATGCTGCTGCGCGGTTGAAGTCTCCAATGAAGTCCTTAACCCCTCCTACCGCCTCGTTAGATGTCATCCCTCCTGTGGTAGTGGTGGAGGATACCGCAAGGGGTAAGAAAAGATCCCTGGAGGAGATGACCGAGGGATCTACTACAGAGTGGCCAGACTTTGGCTGGAAGTTGGACCAAGATATTCGCGCTCAAGGCAGAGAGTTTGGCGCTCTTCTGGAAGCACTGCCGCAAGACCAATGGCTACAGATGTCCCAGATCTTGACCATAGCGGGTAAATTCCTTATGTCTGCACCTGGTAATTACCTTGATATTTCGTTGTTTATATGGTATGATATTGCGTATATACTTTATGCTCTTTGACATGTAACAGGCTCAGTGGACTTCCTGAAGGCGCGAATTGAGGCGCTGAAGGGTGAAAGTGCTCAACAACGCGCTGACCTTGAGGCTAAATTGAAGAAATTTGAAGAGGAAGTATCTATACTGAAAACGTCTATGGCGAAGAAGGATGGCGCCCTGAAGGCCCTGACAACCTCCAATAAGGGATTGGAAGCAGAGAAGACTGATCTGTCCAAGCGTATCTTGGAACTGGAAGGAAACGTTGATACCTGGGCCGAAGAGAAGGCCTTCTTAACCAGTGAGGCAAAGAGGTATCAGGGTTTATTTGAAAAAGAAGCTGAGGCCACTTTTGTTAATGTAATAGAACAAGTGCGCTTTTTCAATCCTTCCGCCAAACTAGACAATGTGCATTATTTTCATTATTTCAAGGACGGCCAGTTGATGACACTTAACGAACAAAATCAGGAAGTGCCCGGGGAGCTAGTCAGTGCGATGGATACTGAACCTATCGCGCCATCCTTGCAAGAGCCCTCTCCTCAAGGTCCTCCTACTGTCGATGGTGATCGCGCTGCTGATAATGATGTCCCTCAAGACATGTCTACCCAAACAGTCTGATTTCTTTTTTGTTGCTTGGTTCAAAATATGTAATTTTTTTGTAAGGGGAGTATCCCCCCATATGCTCCAAAACACATAAATGTTGAAACAATGATAGTGTAAGTTTGGTCTCACCTTTTGATGAAAATCATTCTAAAATATGATGTTGTTTGGTCTCAAGAATGCCGGTGCCACTTACCAATGCATGATGAATAAAGTTTTCAGTCAGCAGATTGGTCAGATGCTTGAAGTATACATTGATGACATGATAGTCAAAACAATGACTATTGTACAACATCCCCAGGATTTGGAACAAGTGTTTCAGCAACTGCACAAATACAAGTTATGACTTAATCCTGCCAAATGCGCGTTTAGAGTACCAGCTGGAAAGTTTTTAGGATTCATGCTGACACATCGCGGCATCGAGGCCAATCCTGATAAATGTAAGGCCATAATCAACATGACCAGCCCGCGAAATATAAAGGAACTACAACAATTGACGGGAAGAATTACTGCTCTAACCAGATTCCTTCCTGCGTCAGCACAAAAGTCATTGCCAATGTTTAAACTATTGTGCAAACAGTCAAATTTCCCATGGACTCCCGAGTGCGAGGCAGGGTTCATGACCGTTAAAGAACATTTGGCCAACCCACCAGTTTTGGTCAAGCCTTTGCCCAACGAACCTTTGGTCCTATACCTCTCAGTCAACAATGAAGCCATAAACGCTGTCTTATTGCGCGAAGAGAACTAGGAACAACAGCCAATCTACTTCGTGAGCAAAGCACTCCAAGGACTA